TAATATGCAAACGACGACAACGAATCATCTTTTTTGAGGATGATAATAAAGATTAAGATCCAGTTTGTGTAGGTGTAATCGAAGTAAGCATTAAGGACAAGATTTATGAACAAAAATATACTAACAAAACGTTTTATCAATTATTCAATAGTTTGTATAGGAATGATCGAAGTAAGCATTAAGGACAAGATCTATGAATAAAACACACCAACAAACGTTTTATCAATTATTCAATAGTTTGTATAGGAGTGGTTGAAGTAAGCAATGAGGACAAGATCTATTAACAAAATATACTAATGAACGTTTTATCAATTATTCAATAGTTTGTATAGGAGTGGTTGAAGTAAGCAATAAGGACAAGATTTATGAACAAAACATACTAACAAACTTTTTATCAATTATTCAATAGTTTTATAGGAGTGGTTGAAGTAAGCAATAAGGACAAGATTTATGAACAAAACATACTAACAAATGTTTTATCAATTATTCAATAGTTTTATAGGAGTGATCGAAGTGAGCATTAAGGACAAGATTTATGAACAAAACATACTAACAAACGTTTTATCAATTATTCAATATTTGTATAGGAGTGATCGAAGTAAGCAATAAGGACAAGATTTATGAACAAAACATACTAACAAACGTTTCATCAATTATTCAATATTTGTATAGGAGTGATCAAAGTAAGCAATAAGGACAAGATTTATGAATAAAACATACTAACAAACGTTTTATCAATTATTCAATAGTTGTATAGGAGTGGTTGAGGTAAGCAATAAGGACAAGATCTATGAACAAAACATACTAACGAACGTTTTATCAACTATTCAATAGTTGTATAGGAGTGACCAAAGTAAGCATTTAGGACAAGATCTATGAACAAAACATACTAACGAACATTTTATCAATTATTCAATAGTTATGTTTATTATTTATTTATGTATATAAATTTCTCTTTTATTTTAACTTATATTTAATAACATTACTATGATAAATAATTAAATGAATAAAGTCAGAGACAAAGCACCTTTTAATTTAATCATCATTGTTGTTTCTAATCATTATTTATGTATATAGGTAAAGAAAATTTTAAAATCTATTTATTTATTATATTTACTTTTAAAATAAATGATTTTACTATAAAAGACATACCCAAGTGATCAAAAATCTGCAAATATTCATAATAATGTAATATTTGGACATTTATTTCTGTTTATACTTGCAATTGGACGCGTCAAACAAAATTTTACATATATGAATATAAAGGCTTTGAGGGTCAGATTATTTTCGGTTTTATTAACAACCTTTAAAAATTTTCTTAAAGCAGATACATATGATAAAGAAGTTAGATATCAAATTTGGTGGTGGTTGCTACACAGCAAGGGTATCAGACGAGGGTGTGAAGACATTCGATTATAAAATTTTACTATGATGCAGATCATCATGTTTTACAACCTCATATTAATATAGATCGGCGGGGACTGTTAATTAATTTAATAAATGCTCTGAGATTTTATAATTAACGAGATTTAAACATGAGACGTATTTTTTACTTATACCATAAACTTGAGTTTTATCTTGATTGCCTGAAGGACAGAGACATCATGTCCGGATGTAGAAGGTTGAGTGAGTTCCTTGCACTAAATAGCCCGAGAGAAATAACTACGTTGTTGGTGTGCAAAAAAAAAAAAAATGGATGGCCATCCTATTTATGTATTTGTTATTATAAAAGTTTTTTCTTCTTTCTTATTACAATAATTTTTAATGGATGGCATCAATTTTTTTCTAATTTAAATTTGGAAATTAATATTATCGATATATGAATTATAATATGGAAATTAATGGGTTGTGCCCATTTCTCTGATAGTATGTTTTCTAATACATTCTATCATTTTATTATGGAGTTATCAGGGAAACGTCTTTTGGAGGTCATCTTGTCAGGAAAATGATTGTTTGTGAATTGTAATGCTTGAAAATAAAAGCAAAATCTTTTTATAAAATTAATTAGAAATTGCTATAAAATACTAACCAAGACCTCAATTGAAAATGAATTTCAAACAAGCAACTACTATCTTGGCTGGAGTTGTAATCTTTAAAACCTTCTTTCACTATATTGACATTAACTGTAATAATTATGCGAATGATTATTCTGACAAAATTCTTATATAAAATGTTGATAATTGCCATATTCAGAGTATATGATTTCGGCCATAATTTCAGTCAAATTTTAAAATTTTTTCTGTACTAGTACTACAAATTAAAATTTTTGGTAATTTTGATTGAATTTTCAACTTGGTGAGTGGTGAAAATTGCTTGCTGGGTTGTTGGTTCAAATCCCCCCCTACTACGTGGGATTCGTGGGAGGCAAACAAATGGGGTTCATGTAAGATGAATACTCATAACGTGAGGCGTATCCTCACACTCCCCGTTCTCATGATGTGTAGGGGGATTATTATTATTATTATTTGCAAAATAAAATTCTTCTTTCCCAACAACAATTAAAATAAAAATTCAATTTTTTACTTTGACCAAAATAACTATTCATTTTTATTTTCCTTTTGGTTCGGAAAAATTGTTATTGTTTACTGGTGAAAAAGTATTTTAAGGCACCAGTATTATTACTATTATTATTATTATCACCATCACTTGTTTGATTAATAATATTTACAATACTCATAGTATATGTTCTTATTATACAATAATAATATTATTATCAAATCTACAACTTATTTTCAGCTTTTAAAATTTTAGAGGTTAATGCCAAAAACAATTTAGAAAAGAAACAGGTATCTTTATGCAAGAATATATTTATATGATCATTATTACTTTCGAAACAGCGAAAAAGTTGCATTGAATAAACATGGCAAATATTGTGTTTGTTAACATTGAATTGGTGTGTTGGTATCCAAAACTATGGAGCTTCGCAACTGTGCAAAATTCAAAAGGTTTTGATTTTTGACTTTTGACTTTTGATTTAGTTTTGACATATAACTTTTAATTTTAGTTTTAACTTTTGCCCCTCAAAATAGTTTTGACAAACAACACTACTTTGAGTTAAATCAGTTCCAATACATACTAGAAAAAGCTTTCTTGATATATTACTTGTTTACGTGTTGTAAGAAATTAAGGTATAGCAAGTATTTGCAGAGTAAGGTTGCCAATGATAAAATACGGTTAGGAAATTAATTATTTGATCTCCTTTTGGGTGATTTCCTGCAGAAACTTTGTTAGCAAAGAATCGATTTTTGGTATGGTAAGATTTATATTAAATTTATTTACACTTTATGAATTTAAAGAGATTACATTCATGAGCATGAGAACACTAAAGAAAAATTGTAACTAAATTCTTCTAGTGCTACGATTTGGAGATCCCAAAATGGAGATCTTTCATGGAAATAAAGGAACTGGTTATAAATGAGGAGGGATCTTATGTATATGAAGTGTTATCACCATTATTGAATATTGCAATGAGAGATCTATTGGTGAATATTGATATATGGGGCATTTGGTTGGTGTAATTTCAACTCTTATTTTTTACAAGTTCAAGTTTATGAGATCTATTTATCAAGCATTATATGGAAGATAGATGAATTCAGCTAGTGCAGAGTGAAAAGGTTTTCCCAACAAGCATGACGAACCGATTACAGAGTTGTCACAAAAATAAAAGATAAAAAGGTCTAAATCGGGTACCTTGAAACTGGCCAACTAGATTCTGCTCTTAAGAAGCAATGGCAGAACCACAATAAGTTAAATCAGCTTTCGAAAGACACTATTGATTTTACAAATTTATCAAAGAATAAAAGAGTATTCAGGATTAATGTTGCTGGTAATACAATAGAACTCTATTGTATGTATGATATGCCTCCCATTTATAAGAACCGTTTACTTAAAACGAGCAACCATCTCACTATATATTTCATCTGCAAAACCGGAAGATCTTTACCATCTCATTCAAACATTATTAACTTCTAAAACTGCAATTACGTGTACCAAATGGAAAATTTTATATACTACTAACAATTCAGATGAAGCGTCATCAATAATTTCATCATCTTCAGATATATCAATAATGTCATCACAAGCATCAACAGTGTCAACAATTGCTTCCCCGAAAAGTCTGCCATCTCTCATAGACCATGAAAAAGAAACTTCAAACAATTCATGTATTTTCATATACTTTATTTTTTTCTATATCATAAATAAACTGACTCAGCTGGTCAAGATTTTCATACCTTTGTAAAATAAGGTAATGATTCACATGAATTATATCCGATAATCTCCCACCACATATCTGATTAAATTAAGCATGGCTGAGAATATTCGAATCGAGGTTATTTGCCTTTAAATATTTGCATACCTCTTCATAATTGAATACTGCTTTCATATCTTGTGTATTCCTGTTTATGATAGTTATAAAAATTTTGTCAATTGTATGCATATAGGTTAATCATGTTCCCATGGGACCTTGCTTTATTTTACGAAATAAAAACTTTAATGTAGTAAAGACATAAAAAAATAAAAAAGTATAGCCCCAAAAGGACATGAAAAATACCTCACTATTAACACCATTGGTTTTATAAGAGGTGAACTTGATTCAGATTAGGATCCACATTGAAATATTCAGGAACCTCGGCTGTTGATTTTGTAGGAATAAGTATGAAATTAATAGAAAGTTCTTGGTGACCTTGATTGTTCAACAGACCTTTAATTGCAGATTTAAGTGTAGCAATATTACCTACATATTCCAATTTTAAAACAATCTCCGTCTGGAAAACGACAATTGAGATTAATAGGATTGGTTATTTTGCGTTTTCTAAGTACAAAGTTATAATGAGTAAAAATTTGTTTTTTATAGATAAAGCCACAAATAATGTATAACGAACCAATATATATTACCTTACAGAAATCACAGGAAGATGAAAAATGATGCCTTGTAAATCCATCTTATTTATATTGTTTCATTTGCTTAATCTGTGTCTTATGAAAGAAGATATCAAATGATGGAAGAAAAAATAAATAAATTTGCATTTGTAACTCCAGCTGTTGTTGCAAAAGATATTGTTTCCTTTTCACTAAAAGAAGTTTTGTCTTATGAAAGAAGATATCAAATGATGGAAGAAAAAATAAATAAATTTGCATTTGTAACTCCAGCTGTTGTTGCAAAAGATATTGTTTCCTTTTCACTAAAAGAAGTTTCAGAAAATCTGAAATCAATGATTAAAACTCAATTTAAAGATATATACCATCCAATACGTGTCAAGTTACAAATAGCATTCCCTGATAAAAGACTTCTTCAGTATGATTGTGGAAAATTACAAGAATTAGATATTCTTCTTCATAGACTGAAAGAAAAAGGTCATCGTGCCCTAATTTTTACACAAATGACACGAGTCCTTGATATATTAGAGATATTCTTAAATATTCATGGGCATACATACCTTAGACTTGATGGTTCAACAAAAATTGAAGATAGGCAAATGTTAACTGAAAAGTTTAATCATAATCCTAAAATTTTTGTATTTATATTATCATCAAGATCTGGTGGTTTAGGTATTAATTTAACTGGTGCTGACACTGTAATTTTCTATGATAGTGATTGGAACCCTTGTGCTGACAGACAATGTCAAGACAGGTGAGTAAAAAAATATGTGGAGTCATTTAGATCAGAAAAGATTTATTATGCCAATCTTAATTTTTTAATTGGAAAAAAACTTTATTATGTAGGTGTCATCGAATTGGTCAAACACGTGAAGTAAATATATATCGTTTTGTGAGTGAACATACAATTGAAGAAAATATATTATTAAAAGCAAATCAAAAACGTATGTTAGATAAATTGGTGATTATGGATGGTGAATTTACAACTGATTTCTTCCAAAAAGTAGATTGGCGTGCACTTGTGAGTGATATAGCACCAAATTGTAGTAATGAAATAAAAGATGAGCCAAAGGATGGAGTTGAATTAGAGCATTATTTGGATAAGGTGGAAGATGATACTGATGTTAATGCTGCAAAAATTTCAAGAAATGAATTTGAAATTGATATTCCAGATTTTTCAGAAGATTATGTAGCAACAGAATTATCTTCACCAATTAAAATTAATGGAATCAATGATGATAATCCTGATCATATAGACAATTATATGCTTCTTTTTATTGAAAGGGAATTAGCATAAGAAAAAACCATCTCACCACTTTATATCAATTTGTATTTTTTGAGTGATTATCATTATTTTTTTTATATTCCTATTCCAAAACCTAAACTAAATTTGGTTAATTTATAATATTTTCATTTTTATCATGATTTTTATTAAATAATTGGGCATCAAAAAAAATTATTATTATTTCTAAACTAAATTTGGCTAAAATTTTGACATAATGCAAGGATGCCCATTTTTAAATTATTCATATTAAATATACTTTGATATTCTTTGCCAGCAATTTGTATTATTACTATTATGGTATAATAATAATATTAAGTTGTAAATAAATTCAACACAACATCTTAAAATTGTAAAGGTAGATGTGAATTTTACTATCTGCTACATTCAGAAGTTCTATAATGAGAACTAGGAAAAATTAAATATCATGTGGACCACTGAAAAAAGGAATTGCTTCCATAGATCCTTCTTAATTTAGTAATTTTTAAATAAATCCAAACCAGAGTGATAGGTTATGCAAGTAAAGATGGCTTCTCAATTAATTGCAGCATATAAAAATTGGATTGTAGTTGAGTTGCAGCATATGAAAATTGAATTGTGGGTAATTGTTGTTCCCATCTTTATATGTGAGCATGTGAATTCTTAACTCAAGCTTGGGGAGTGTTCATTAAATATATAATGCAGGTGTGTAAGGGTACTGACATATATTAGCTAATATCATTTTAATAGAAGTACTTAGCCCCCACACACAGGTAAGACATTTTGATCATGTATATGACACCATATCTGACCAGATGCTAAGGTTATATCCTTTATTATTTGAAATTTGATATACACAATGAAACTCAATTTAGCAGATAATTTTGGCCACTTGGTGAAAATTTTTCAAAAATCTGTTAAATTGAGATTTAATTAGTACATCCATTATATCAAGAAAATTTATTATATAAAAATGCAGCCCAGTTCTGAGCCTCAATCTGTTAAATCAAGATTTTTATTAGACATCCACTAAATCAAAATTCACTGTGTATTCTTCATAAGGGGTTGGGGTTACAAATTATAATAAACATATAAAAAATCATATGTGCGGATTTTCACCAATCAATATACACTTCCTGATCAAAAATATAGGGACACCTGCAGATCATTACAAATAATTGAATAAAGTGACATGACAAGAACTAAAAATTTTACTATCCCAATCACACCTGCTTATTAAGTAAAAATTAATCTTCATATCAAATATTATAATATACTGAAGTTTCACTGCATATAAATAAAAACATTGTTGTTTTACAAACCTTAAAAGATAAAAATAAAAATTTCAGAATTTTCTGAAAAATGTTTGACTCGAAGATTGACCACAATAGCAAGTTCTAACAACCTTTGTGGTATAAGTAAAAAATGTGTCTCATGTTTAAATCTAGTTACTTCTAAAATTTTAGAGCATTTGGTGAATTAATTAATGAGGAAAGAAATAAATCATAAAAATTTTACAAAATGATTCAACCTCAAACTGCTCACTAATTTGAAACATAAAAGACATTAAAAAATAGATGAAACTATTTTAAATTGATTATATTTTATTAAAAAAAAATTAATATCTTGTCAGGTTTCCTCTACTTTCTAAAACAGCATCAACCCTTCATGGCATACTACCTATTAATTTATTAATTTTTTTAATATTAATGATCTTCAAAATTGGAAAAAATCAATCCATTTAGTATTTTTGTCCATAAATTGAGAAATAATATGGTAAACTTCATGAAATTCTGCAAATAACTAATTTCAAACATAAGACAAATTTTTTACTTATACCACAAAGGTTGTTAGAACTTGCTATTGTGGTCAATCTTCGAGTCAAACATTTTTCAGAAAATTCTGAAATTTTTATTTTTATCTTTTAAGGTTTGTAAAACAACAATGTTTTTATTTATATGCAGTGAAACTTCAGTATATTATAATATTTGATATGAAGATTAATTTTTACTTAATAAGCAGGTGTGATTGGGATAGTAAAATTTTTAGTTCTTGTCATGTCAGTGAAGTGTTCTGTTGGTAAAGTGTCCTGTTGGCAAATTGTCCCATCAGTAAAGTGTCCTGTTGGTAAAGTGCCCTGTCAGTAAAGTGGGTGCTGGTAAAGTGTCCCAGACCTGTTGCCACCATCACAACTGATTTTGATGATTACCTATTTCTCTTGTGCAAAATAAAAATAATTATTTTTAAAAAAAATGGAAATTCTGAAAAGTAGGAAACAAAACAATGGAATCAATAGAGCATCATCTTAAGAATACTTGTATGAAGCCTCAAACTAAATGCTAGTGATCAAGATTTTAGCAGTTCATAAAGCTGGCACTTCTTATTTTTAACCAAAATAAAGTTTCCAACAAAAGGTATATTATTACAAAATATTTTTTGGTTTTACAATTATTTTTTATCATGTTATTATGATCAAGTTTTTTTATTTTAAATAATTGAATTCGAACGGTCATACAATATAAAAAAGATCACCAATCGATTTTGTCACATGTGACAAACTCAAATGTCCACCATGCTATAGTGCAAGACACCTAGTCCCACAACTTTTTATTGACCTTGTAGATCCTCTCTAACTCCAAAAATGGAAATGTAACACCAAAAAAATAAGCCATAATTTTGAAGCTAAGACCTTTCTCTACAAAGTTACGATTTCATTTTGTTGATATGTCACAGCATTGCGCAGTTAGA